ACCAGGCCCAACTCCTGCACCACCAGGTCCAAATCCTGCTCCCCCAGGCCAAACTCCAGCACCGCCAGGCCCATATCCTGCTCCCCCAGGCCCAACTCCGGCACCACCAGGCCCATATCCCGCTCCGCCAGGTCCAAATCCTGCTCCACCAGGCCCTACTCCGGTTCCACCGGGGCTGTAACCTGTTCCACCAAGTGATGTTGCAGCTCCACCTAAGGTCAGCAAATAAAAAATGTCATGTTCTCAGCATTGAAACTATGTAATGTTCATAATAGCAGTTCATAGTTACTTGTTTTAGGAGGCTTGGGACCAGTTCCACCAGGTCTTGCATATTGACCAACACCACCTGGCCCATAACCACCTCCATAGCCTCCAAAGCCACCTGGGTGATGACAGAGCTTTGTTAACTACACATAAAACATGTCCTTCAAGGTAAGCACTGTATAAAATGTCAGCTGAATGGTGGCTTAAGAAAAAGACTTTGGAGTGAAGCGTCATGATTGTCAACTGAGAGTGACTTGTGACACTGACACTTGAGCATATTAATTAGTGGGACCTTGATACTATTGTCACTATCAGATTGTGGCTCCAAATGATGTCAAAAGCGCAAGATGGCGGCCCCCGTATTTAGGATAGTTTAGCTTCATTTATGTACGTCAGTGGAGACACTTTGCCCATCTTCAGTCTGATCCCAAGTGCTCTGACTAAATTGATGAATTCATTCTTAGTTACAACTTGAAACATGTGGACTTAAACCTCTATTATTAATGCATTCAATTGTTCATAGACTTGTTGAATGTTAGAAGACATGCTTATACTTTTAAAGCTGGCATTGGGTCTCATGTGAAGATAAAGAAGTTGTAGGCAAATGAAAACCACTGACCTCCAGGTCCGTAGCCTGTTCCAGCCCCGAGGCCTCCTGCTCCTAGGTTTCCCCCACCCAAACCTCCTGCCCCGAGGCCTCCGAGTCCTAATGAGCAGATAAAAGAGAAACACTATTTAGTGCTTTCTATACTTTCTCTAGTAAAGTTCCAATACACTACATCATGCATTAATGAATTCAGTGTGTCCCTGTGTGACTCCACCCTTTTGTAATGTAATACATGCAAGAAACCTCACAAGAATTTACTTTGAAAAGTTTTGAAATATGGTTTGAAGTTTTCATGTTTGACTTTAAAACCTCCTAACAATACTTTGACTTAGTTTCTCTTTTTCGGTCTAATGAGATCAATTTACGCAGCTTCAGGTCCCTGCGCTCATTGTGCATGATTTTTTGAATTTGCGTTTGACCAGCACAGTGTTTGTAATTGCATGTCTCACATTGCTTGTTCAGGTGAACCAGGATGTTTGTGTGTTATTCTTCTTGGGTGGAGCAGGACAACACAAACACACTTTGCGGGCATTATTGTGTAGCGTAGATGTGTGTGCTGAGTTGGCCAGACATTTGGTAAACTGGAAAGTGTGACATATAGTAAGAGTCTGTTTGCTGTGCTTACCCTGACCCCTTTCATACGCACCAATGGGAGGAATTTAAAAGGTTCCACAAAGCCAAGGCTTAACCTCTTAAAAATGGTTTGGATATTATCACCAACATTCCTGATCCTGCGTAGGCAACTCACATGTTCGGGGGGGATGAAAAACAGAGAGGCCTGAAATTCCAAAGCAAATCTGTCTTTCTGACTGACGTGATGATTTCCGTCCTTTATCTGGGACCTGCCATGCCTAAGACGTGAGTCGTTATCACTACATGTGAGTGTGTGTGTGCATGAGGGTGGATGGCTTTGAGGCGATGAGGAAATGAAATAGTAGTGCATGTATGCAATCCATATCCTGCGGCACTGAATTTACCAGAGGAACAATATTTACAGTACAGGGGCTGTTGACCACTGATCCATGTGTGCATGAAGTAGTTTATGACCTGATTCAGCTTGAATATTATTAATTTATGTCCAAACAAAGTAATTGCAGAAATTACACAATCTGTTTTTGTTAGTGACACTGATACGATTATAATTGCAGGAGATATAAATATATAAGAAATATACTTTTATATAAAATTGAAAGATTGTATCATTCAAAAAACATTTTAACGTATTTCATGCTATGCCTCTTTTGTGAAGAGTAAACCAACGTGCTTTCAGTTAAATAATTTTCATTACTTTATTAATTTTTTGTGACATTTTTATCGTCTACATACCTGTACCAGTACGGCCTGGTTGGAAGCCACCTGGCCCAACTCCTCCAGTTCCAGTTCCGTAGCCCCCAGGCCCAACACCACCCGGACCGACTCCGCCCTGTCCTAGTCCTCCTCCTACACCTCCAGCTCCCTGTCCTGCTCCAAGCCCTCCAGTTGTTCCTCCACGACCACTGTAGACACCTTCGACACACAAGTATGATCCCAAAATAAGGGGGTTAGGGTTAGGGATATATGTAAGCAGTGTTTTAAGAGTTTAAAACCATCTTGAGGATCTCTCCTATACCTCATCCAAACAGCAACGCAGGGTTGTGTCAGATCAGTGGACTAATAACACTGTCTTACCTGTTTTTGAAGGCTTTCCACCTGAAAGAAGAAAGTAATCATGACAATTTAATCAACAAGAGCATAATGGAAAATACACACCTCTACAAGAGGTGCAATTAAGAATCAATACGTCCACTAGCCGTATTTTTCTTACCAGCACCTCCAGGGCCGACTCCTAGAGCACCACTGCCTGGACCAAAGGAGCCAGGTCCGAAACCTCCTGGTACAACTCCACCAGATCCAACTCCTCCAAGTCTGAATCCGCCTGGTCCTACTCCACCTGGTCCTACTCCTCCTGGACCGACTCCTCCTGGTCCTTGACCACCATAGCCTCCTGAAGAATATGCACGATACACATGTAGATGAAGACAAAACAAGCCTTAGTACAGAAAGTGAAAGCAGCAGCACATCATACATACACTTTTAATTCAATTCAATTCTATTTAATTCAATTTATATGATTCATATACAATTCATATATCTGTGAGAACTCTAGCAATTCCACCAGCAACTGATTTCATTAATACAAAACCTCTTAATAATCTTAAATTGTATCATGATGCATTTGAAAGCTGATTCCTGTGTGTTGCCATGATTCTAGTCAACAGTTAAACATGTTACTCCAGATATTTATTGTATGAAGTTTAACAGATAACGCATCTGCCTCCACCAGCTCCTGGACCAAACCCCTGATACCTGCACCAGCTCCTCCCGGTCCGGCTCCTCCACCAGGCTGAAATCCAGTCCCGGCTCCTCCGTATCCTGTTCCAGTTCCACCTGGTCCAAATCCAGCTCCAGGTCCTGCACCAGCTCCTACACCAGCTCCAGCTCCTCCACCAGCACCAGCAGGTATGTATACACCTGATGCACATCATCATCAAAACCAAATGATTCATTAATTGCTTCAAGTTATAATAGTTTAGAGCAGCACTCTTCTAGTAAAATGTTTTATGATTACTGTAATTTGTTATTGTTATTATTGCACTGTTCACTTTAGAAGAGCAGAAAAAGAGCATGACATCAGCTGTAAACACGTGAACTGTGTTTTCATAGTTGCGGACGTCTAACACATGAGTCATCAGTAAAGACTAATGAGGCATAATTTTCTCCTCTTTGCCAGCACTTAGTAAACCACATTTAATTTGTATAAATAAACAAGAATTACATTTAACAAGTGGCATCAGCTGCCACACAAGCTGACTCAAAAAGTGTGTGTAGTGATCATCGGTCCCTGTGCTGAGTTTCTCTGCTGATGATAGCAAACAGCGCCTCATCCAAAAGGCATTCTTCTTTGGTCATAATTCTCACACTTTTCTGCACCTATATTCTGTTTCACAAATCACGATCGCTAAGAATAGAAACAGGGCGAGCAAACAACTATAAAAGGAATGGTTTTTTAAGATCCCACAGTCCAGATGTGAGAAGAATAGGTCTGTAGGGATTCCTGAAGAATGTAAGTTTCTGATCTCAGAGTAATGCCATGTACAGCACATTAACAGCGCACAGTAAATAACTTAACTGCTCAGTCATTCCACTCTACCCGCTGCATTCTGCAGGAGAGGAACCTCCTTCCCCTCAAGCTTTTGTTGTTTTGGGATCTTTGAAATGAAACGTTGCACAGGTAAAAGAGCAGCTTGACATGGTCGTACTTTTTCAATTTATAAGTCATAATAAACAAATTTCATCACTCTTTTTTCTCTTTAGCCATTTGGCAGTGTATGTCTGTAGGAATGACAGTGTCAATGTCTGACATATCTCCACCATATCAGTTGGGTTGCCAAGACATTTTGTCCTGACAATAAGAACCCCTCCCCCAGAGAAGTGACTCTGGTGACACCCCTGATATTTCGTCTTGTGCCCGATCCAAACATTTCATATCTCAAATTGTTCCCATCCATCCATTATCTGTACTGCTTATCCTTTAAAGGTTCTGGGGCGGGGAGTTAGTCGGAGCCAATCCCACCTCACTCTAGGCAAGAGGTGGAGTTCACCCTGGATGCATCATCAGCGTATCGCAGGTCTGACACAGACAATCATGGTTGACTTAAATCTCTCAAGAACAGTTAGCAGTGACCGGGTGATTTGCTGCTGAAATTCATGGTTTTAGTGAATTTTTAGAGAACCCCAGATCTTCATCTATATTTGTTCAATAATTAGTTTTGTCTGTCTAACATTTTCATTACAATGAATATTCCAGCCACTATCTTGGCTGTAGACTCTGATACTCAAGCTGCAGAGCCATGAACGAACCTTCCAGGGTTGTGTCAGTAATACTCAGCAAACCCCAAAACCCCTCGACCCAACTCTTTACTGAAAGGACGAGGAGGAAATCGAGGGGCTAGCTCCCATCCTCTTTTCAGCCAGTTGGAGCCTTTGAGCTCTGGGAGGTGCTACAGAGCCCCTCTGGGAACTAAATAAGTCTTTAGAAAGTGCCATAATTATTTTTAACTCCACAGAGGTTCTGAAGGTTCAGAACTCTCTTTAACCTTCAACCTCTTGTACATGATTTTTAACAACTGCCAGTTGGTTTTTTTATGGTGTTTAATGTTGTCGTTTGTCTTTAGGATTGTCTGTCCTCATGTTGTTTTATAGCAAGCAAAAGACAATATTCCACATAGGTGGTGAATAAGTTGTATTCTATTCTTAATCTGGTTAAAGGTTCACTGGTGCAGTCTTTTTGATTGTAAAATGGATCTGAAATGATGAAGTGCTTATGTTATGATGATTAGACAGTATACATCCTGGTGGCTGACTATGTAATCACATCGTACTTTGTTTTAGTCCAATCTGAGACCTTTGCTCATATCATCCTCTCTCTCCCCTCTCTTGCTCTACTCTCAGCGCCACTGTCTCCTCCCTGTCACTGTCCCTGTCTCCATCTTCATCTAAGTCTGTTGTGTCCAACATCTGCCCATTGCTGTTATCACAAATATTCTTTGTTGATAGCGTCTCAGTTTACTTATGACTATTCAAAAATATAGCAACCTAAGCACAAATACTCTTTCAGTCCATTTCACTAAAACCAAATCTCATAAACTTAACAACCAATGACAAGTCTTCTTACTCTTCACTGAGTTTTCACTGGCTCAGCTTGACCTTGTATGAATGGAAATTACACAACAGCCTGAAACACCCGTTTGAACCACCCACAATGCACCCATTCAAATGAGGAGGAGACTGAGGGTGATCTCCTCACATCAAACGGATTACAATTTAAACAGAAGAGGCAACAAGACAGCATGAGTGGATGAGGTCTGGAGCACATGGTCGAAGTTAGAGCTTTTTAAAAGATACAGTGCCTCATTAAAATATTTTTATCATAATTATGTTGTACCGATCGCTAACATTAATAACATACGTGTGCTTTGTGAAGACACAGAGAACTTTGTACTTTTACGTTTCATCCAAACAAAAATCTGTAAAATTAATATTGTGTAGCTCTGTTTAAAATCACATGTTAAAGTTACAGCAGCAACAAACTAGAAATCATTCAGCAGAAATGTCAACACAGGCATGTTTTCATTAATACCCAGAGAAAAAAAATCTGAGTGGAGTTGGTAGAGTTCCTGAAGAGTAAAAACCCTTCCAACTCGAGCTGTGTTTGTTTTACTCCACAATTACATTATTTCTAAAGACAAACCTGCAGAAATTGGAACAATGAATACAAATAATAATGATTCATTGACTTCTAAAATGCAAATACTTCTTCCCAGTGAAACCACACTAAAATTATTGAAACTCTGGCAAATGTCTGCGGTTTTTCGTATCATCAGATTTTCTTTTTATCATCATCAGTAATCTGCAGCAGCAAATTTCTTCTTATGTTAGACAACCTCATTATCATGATCATTATCTTCACTGTCATATTTCCTGCACCCCCCAAAATCACACATGACAATTAAAATGACTGAACTAAAGAAAGAAAATAGAATCTGTGTGCATGCATCCATCTTCTACTTAAACTGCTGCATAAGTTTAATGTGACACCTGATGCACAGGTGCTGAGCTGCTGCACACATGCAGTAAAGAGGACCCACCTCCTTGCAGTGATGGTTTCCACAGAGCCAGGAGAAGGACTCCGTGTAGGTACGTGGCCACCGTCCCTCTCGCCATCTTGCTCCCAAATGTCCCTCTCTGCTCCTAAGCTCCAGGTTTTATCCCCAGCAAGCCTATCAGGGCTCAACGAGGCCTTCAGAAAGAAGGAGGGAAATGAGTGAGGGCAGAAAAAAATGGGAGGGGGGGGGGCAGGATGCAAGACAGGACACTGCGTAATTGGCTAAGAGACACGCAGTAGAAAGATAGACACGGTAAGAGGCAGAGAAAGCACAATGGATCACCTCATTATACCAAATAGGTTGTTCCAACCCCCCCAGTGACTCTTAGGCTGCATTTATTTGGGTCTTTACTGCCAAAAGGAGGGAGTAGGCAGGGTGGGCAAGGAGACAGAGACGGGGGGAGACATGTATGAGATACAGGGGAGACTGTGAATTGTAAAAAATGGGGTTCCCTCCTTTTTCTCCAGTCACCTCAGAAAGTAAAAGCGAACGGTGCCAGAAATTCCTGGTGGATTTCCAAACAGCGTCATGTTTGAGTTGAAGGAAAACACAAGAGTGACTCAAGAGCTGCTTCATGAATCTTTGGTATGTATTTATGAAATACAGCTTTAAAATATGAATATATTACTAAAAATGAAATCATAATATAAATATTGTGAGGCCCACGTGTAACCCATAGATACAGATGATGGATGGAGACATACTATGTCAGAGTCTTGTACCTGAGTCTGGTGAGTTCATCTAACCTTTAAGTCAGATCATAGCATCTTCTGCACGAGTGAGACAAATGTTTAAGAAGAGTAAAGACGAGAGCAGAAGAAAGAAAAGAACAGAAAAGCAAAGATGGGAAAGATTTTCCTCCCCCTAATAAGAATAAGTCGCATTATGATCAGAGAGGTCATTTTACCAGTGAGTCACCTTTGGGCACGACAGCAACTATCATCACACTGCTGTGGTTTTTTCCTCACCACCTTGAGTCCAAGCGGTAGTGGGGCAACACACCGGTCAGCATACCTGGAAACAATCACTGTTTTTTTTTGTTGTTGTTTGGACCAGTGGTATCGCTGGGATTTTTTCTCCATGTTTGGGCTGGCTGGTCCTGTCCCAGCTCCTGAGGGCTGAGGTCTGTGTCTGGCAGGGTTCTGAAACATTTTCTTTGTTTGGTGGAAATGGGCCTGGAAACAGATGAAGTAAACGAGCTAATGGCACCAATACACTGACATGGTGAGGATCAGAGAGTGGGAGCAGGAGAAACCACGTTACAGAGAGCACAGTACTCATTGTTTGGCAAAAAATATATATTTGAACTGTAGCAGGTCAGAGGTTATTTATTATTATTATTTATTAGAATGTGGCCACAGATCGAATGTGGTTTTGAGTGATCAGATCTCAGGATGCAGTTGGTCGCGTTCAGACGTGAAATCAGCTCTGACAATTCACACTCGCACCTTTAGACGATCTTAGAGGTAACTTATCTTAACCAGCATGTCTGTGGACTGTGAGAGGAAACACAGCGAGAACATGAAAACTCCAGTTTCCAATCATCAGGGTTTGAACCCAGAACCGTCTCGCTGTGAGGAACAACCATATGGGCTCTCAATATAAAATCTTGCCCCCTGTAGTCCTCTGATCCATAGCTCATGGCCACTTGACAAAACCTAGCAACTAACACCGACTCCTACCTCAACCATGAAATTTTAACATGAAACAATAGAAGCAGCAGCAGAAGCCAATGAGAGTTCCACTGGTCTGAATTGTGGAAGATGTTTCTGAGATGTGATCATGTAGACAACTCTTGAGTTCTGTCTGAAACGGCTCGATTAGTAAACAAGTGCTTCATCCGTATATTTATGTTTCTGTACGAGTGTTTGCTTGCACTGTCGGGTTGTATATTTACATTTGTATGTTGGAGAGATGAAGGAGAGAGGCAGTGCTACCTGAAAACCCATAATTGGTCTTAAAGTGTAGTTTTATTGCTGTTTTCAGATTTGGTCTTTGTGCTCACATTTGATGGAGCTACATAGTTATGCAGTGAAATAATACAGAGAGAAACGAAGGGTAAAAATGAAATATATATATATATACCATATAAGAGACTTTTAAGTTTGAGGTCATTAGTACTTGAAAGTCCAGACTTAGAATAAACAAAAGACAAAAGAGTAATTTGTCAAATACCAGAGAAACATAATTGTCAGTTATTTAAAATTATGAATGACCATAATTTAGAGCTAGACGGTTTGAATTGGCCATATATCACTGTTATTGTACATAAAACCTACATGATTACCTGACATTCAGAGTGTAGTGTTCTGTCCTGTGTATCAGTTTGGTGTTAAACCTTTCAAATAAGAAACTTGCGATAGTCTGACACCTGAGACGGGTTGAAAGTAAGAGGTGTTTCACGCAGCCTCCGTCAGAATCAGTGTGATGCTGGGTGACTTAGTTTGTACAATGATAGAATGAGACCTGTTTATTCATTCTGAGCACAAGTTTCCACCTTATGGTGACACAAGTACAAGTACACTGACGCCTGCACATGCAAACACAAAATTAAGCATTAACTCAGCTTGGTCAATAAGAGGAGTTTTTGTTTTTCATGCTGCTCTAATGTTTATGTGGCTCCCTGCCCAAAATCTTAACACCACGCATGTCTGGAGAGATGGAGACTGTAAGACTGTAAATGTGATGGACAGGGCCTCAATCTACATGCGCTCATATGTTCGTCTGATGGAGGAGAATGGGAGAGGCACTTCATTTCATCGAAGTCAAACATGTCACAAAAAACAGATTGATGACCAAAGCAAAGCTGTAACAGTCTTTAACTTATATTAAAAAGTTGGAAACCGTGATGAAGCAAAATACATTTCTGCTTTGTCTTGTTTTGACGCAAAACATTGATGACGCAGCAAGACAGATTTTAGCTAAGACAAGTGAGAATATGCACAAACACATAAAATGAAAGTATTGATCTGTGCTTCTTGTAGAAAAGATTTCTGTCTCCTCTGGTTTGACTTCAAATTATTCTCATGGATTATTATATTTGCAATCAAATAACATTGTACTGTTACTGTACTGTAAGTGTTATCATGGAAACATGCAGGCATGACATCATGTTGCCTGTATTTGGCCGGCGGTCCGTTGGAATGAGAAAAAAAACAACATTCAGAAACGGGCAGAGAGATGCAGGATCTGCTGCCAACATTTTTTATGCAAAGTTAAGGTGTTATTCTTCAAATGACTGCAGCTGTCCGTGTGGTAATGTGTGTAAATGTTGTGATTATTATTCGCTTTGACAGTCACTACTACACACACACACACACAGACACACACACACACACACACACACACACACACACACGCACACACACACACTCTCTCTCATCCACCTGCCGTCCACTTCCCACATCCATCCACACAACCTGCGGAGCCGCGTGCCAGCGCGTATCAATGTTACAAATAAAGCAGCCAAGTGAGTAGTGCCTGTTCGGAGTTTACCTAACGTCTACCTAGCGTTTACCTAACGTCTGCTGCCTATATATGGGCGTGTGTGAGCTGGAGCACTGCTCGCCCCCTCCAGACTGGTAATTTACCCCTCTGGGTGATGGAGAGAGGGAAAGCGAGCGATAGAGAGGAAAAAAGGGAGGAAAAATGCAAGAGAAGGAGAAAGGGAGTGAGACAGACAGAAAAACAGACAGACAGACTCAGACGGGCACTTGTTTGACTTGATAAATGAACTGGACTGCTGGTAAATGTCAGGGTTAAGGTCTGGGTAGGATCGACTTTCACTGCCAACCCGTGCCAAAGATTTACATCTCCAAGTCTGATGGCAGCCCACAGGCCTCAAGCCCACCCACACTGACACACCCTTTCATAACTTGGTACCGTGGACATAAGTAATGTTTCACTGCATGGTGGGATCTATATAGAAATGTGATGGATTATCCATCAGGGTTTGTCTGTTTTACCTTTTGATCAGTTTAGTTTAATGATTGTGTTGAATCAGCAGAGAGGTTGAAAGGCCATATGTGTTATGATTATCATTAATTCCATAAATTATTTATAATTGACCCTGGATCTGCTGTAAGTGGTCTAATCCCTGCTCTGCTTAAAATGCTGCCTCTGATGATATTCCACCTCTTCTGAACTCAAACCTTCTGTCATACAAACAACCGTGTTTGGTTTATGGTACAAAACTTGTGCAACAATCTGGATTTTATTGTTTTCACATAAGAAAGATAAGAAATAAAAAATATTCACCTCAGGATCATCATGAAATGATTTTTTATTTTTTCGACTGGCATGATGATACTGATAAGTGATTCAGAATGATGGCATGTTACCTCCTCAGTGGGTTCATGTACTATGATGACAAAGTTGTGTTTACTGGTTCAGTTTGCAGCAGGAGAGAAAAGCTCATCATTTAAATAACTTTCAGGACGCTCGTCCAGCGCTGCAGGGCGTCTCGTTCTCTTTGCAGTAACCTCTGCACACATTATGCTCTCCTGGTGAAAGTCCTCTGTGGCCCATTAAAACAAACAGAGCGGCTCTCAGTTGAGCTGCTCGAGGCTGTGGACTCCTAACCGTGTGCAGCAGGAGAGGCAGACTGTCATCTACACTGAAGCACTGACTTAATTGAAAGTTGAGGTATGATCCAGTTATTACTGATCCCACATGGGGGCATTTAAACTGAAGACACAGTTTACCTAAATGGCGTAATTAGGTCGTTAAGGAAGAGTTAAATTAGAATTAAATGAGAATGCTTCAATCCTTAAAAGTGTTCTCTCCTCTTGCATGTAACATATCCACAGGAACGCGTTTTATATCACAAAATGCAGCGACGGAGTGTGACGTCAGATGAGTTATGCTCTTCGATGTCAACTGTTATAAGCAGGCCCCTTCCCATGACTCATAACGACCCTCAGCTCGGAGGGGAGAGGCTTCTCCTCCCACGAGGGTTGAAACAACACCAAATCAAGAGCAGCGCCTTACACAAACACTGCAGCACTGTAACATACGAAGGGGCCATCCATC